TAGGTGTCACAAACCTGCTAAGTCACTGAGATGGGAACCAAGTGAACCTCCTTTATTTAGGATCTGGCCAAGCAGCTCTGACTCAACTTCCCTTTCTTCCAGGGAGAAAAGAACATGGACTCTGTGGAAAGTCATCTTGGGGACTTAGCAGACATCTGGACTCAGGACCTGAGGGTGCAGAACATTTAAGTGGTGCAGGCAGGTGGCGACTCTGAGAGTAGCAGCTCAGGGAGGTGGAGGGTTATATGACTGGGCATGGGGCGCACTGTATTCTGATTCTCTGAGGTACCAGTGGAATAGTTAAGGAGGGTATTGAGAAATAAGATCCTTAGGAATTAATGGTGGAACTGGTACTATAGATTTGGGAGGCATCCCGGATGACCATGAGATACTGATCTTATTCTGCCGAAGAACCATGTTCCAACATTCTTAGATGAGCTGTGATATAGTACGGTCTATACCAACTACATTAATATGTGTCTGACCTATACCCACGGTCACAAGCATTCCAGGATAGCTATGAATGATGCCTAACACATTTGTAGACTACAAAATCAAATGTCAAAAGGTTGGACACTCCTGATAAAGCACTCAAACACAGTTCCTGAGCCAAATAGCATCTCTACATCTCCAGACCCCTGGAGCCCTTTTGTAGGTGAAACCACGAGGCTCATCTCATGACACACAGGCTCTTGAGGCACTGGCGCATGTCTCTAGACTTGGTCCTTTTCCTCTTTATTTTCTTCTTCCATAAATTATTATTAGTAATGTGAGTGTGTGTGTATAATTCGTATGAGGGCACCAGTGTGCAATGTGTGTGTGTGTGTGTGTGTGTGTGTGTGTGTGTGTGTGTGTGTGTGTGTGTGTAGGACACTTTGTGGAATCTGCTCTCTCATTTTCACATGGGTTCTGGGAACCAAGCTCCGTCCAACTATGAAATCTTGCTAGCCTGCCTTTCTCCCTTCCTCCATAGCTCCTTCCCTTTTCTCTCTCTTTCCTTTCTTGTGATACAGGATCACATGTAGCATAGGCTGGTCTCCAACTCCCTATATAGTATAGCAAAGGATGACCTTCAACTTCTAATCCTCTCCTCGTCCTAAGTGCTGGGATCATGGACATGCCTCCCACCCCAGCCGTAGTCCTTGCTTCTTGAAATCTCCAGTGAATGAGAAAAAGAAAACTAAGACTTTGGCAGTCTTTTTTCTGATGTCTGCTTGAACTGTTTAAATATTTTGACAATTGTGAGTTAAGGTGATGGTAATTCAGGTGATTTTCCTAACAGGAAATTAATTTTACTTTATAAATGAAGGGTCTTTGAAAATGTTACTCTTTCTAATTTGGCATATTCTTGTCAATCCAAATTGCCTTATCAAGCCTACATTTCAAGACTCATCGTATAATGACTAAGTCCTGTGAGTTACCTTCCAAGGCTTTGCACCTTAAAGTGCCCCAAGTCCACTGGTTTAATGTGACAGCTATTTGCTGTCACAGCCAGAGGCTGCAATGAGCTGTGGCAGTGTTGAGCTCCTGCAGGCTCAGGGAGGGGTGCTACCTGCCTCTTCCTAGTTTCTGGTGGTTGGCAGCTGTGCTGGGGGTACCTTGGCTGGACCTCTCCAACCGGAGGCTCGATGCCAAAGTCCACTCTCCTCGTGTATGTACAAACATGTATGTCCATGTTTCCCTGGTCTCATTAGGACACAGTCACCAAGTTTGGGACATACAACTCCAGCATGACTCCACCTTCAATAATCAATGGCAAAGATCTTATCCCAAATAAGGTCACATCCACAGGTCCAAAGCTAGGACGTACGTGTGACTTTGAGGACACAATTCAAACCTCATGCACACAAATGAGGATATGAAGTTAGCTGAAAATACCCTGCTGATCTCAACCTTATCTGTTAGACACCAGAATGCTGTGTGTTATTTTCTAGGTTGAATATACTATGCTGAATATATTGTGACAGAAACCACCATGGGGCCAGCAACATGAGCAGAATTCTTATGTCTCAGGAGTTTCTCGAATAAATTGTAATGCACAGGCACCTGTCTTGAATTCTTCCTCCAAGCCAGTCTTTAGCACGTTTAAAAGCTCCCTGGCACTTTCCCACCACATACACTGCTTAGTAATTTCTGTGACTCACCATTGGGGCATCAGGAAGTACTTGAGGACAGCTTTCAAACTCTCAGGTCTCAGGCTGCTGACATGAGTCCTCGGCCCCACTAATGTTCACTGAACACAGATAGCCATAGGATACTGTGTCCATAACAATAACTAGGAGAATCTCCCTTTGGGTTAGGGACACTCACTTTTGTTAGCTGGGACCAAAATGCCTGAGAGAACTAAAGGAAGGAAGGATTTGTTTGGCTCAGTTTCACAGGGGTCAGTCCATCTTAGCTGGGGATATGTGATGCGATGCTCACATCAACCGAGGCCAGGAAGCAAAGAGAAGAGACTACAAGAGGAGGCAGGGGTAAGAAAGAGCTCCAAGGACATTCCTCCAGTTTCCTCCAACCATGACCTACCTCCAACCTTTGATCACCTGCCAATAATAACATCAGATCATGAATATATCAAGGGTTTAATCCATTGATTAGTTAGGAGCCTCTGGGATCCAATCATGCCCAGAAACCCACCACAGACACACCCAGTGGTACGCTTACTGATATCCTAATGTCTCAGTCTCATCAGGTGGACTAGGTTAACCGCATTTCAATGAGAAGCCTACCTGCTTAACGTTCCAATTTACATTATGATATTATGTGATCTAAAGCACAGTGTTCATGGAGTTAGGGACTTCAGATCAAGAAAGTGCTGACCACCACTCAGCCAGTGCAAGGTGTGAACTGTTCTACAGGCCATTAGCAGCCAGTTCATTAGCAGTAGCCATAAACACTGGCACCTATTTTTCACCGAATTTCCACTAAGCTGCACAGAACCTCCTTTCACATAAGAGAGAAAACCAGCCCCAAACACAAACTTAAAGGTTAGGCAAACATTCCTATGCCAGCCAACAGGCAAAGGTCCGGAAGGAGAGGTCTTGGTTGTTTTAATTTGGGGAACAATACTGTGTAAACACAGCCAGGGATGAGGGAAGGTGACAGCCTCTGCCTTGGTTTTGGGTGACTATGCTTTTATGCCAGCAGCTTTAGAGACCACTCTTGCCTCTTTCTAAAGCTAAACTTCCACTTATTAGTTTCTATTTGCTTTTAATTTGTTTGTTTCCTCCATTGAAAGGAAAGATTAAATTCAGACTTAGTTAAAAAGTAAAAACCTGGACATGGGGAAACATGGATATTGTAGATATTGCTACAAGTGTGGGGCCAGCCTGGGCTACACTATGAATCCTAAGTCATCCAGAACTATATAGAGAGAAACTGTCTCAAAACTAACAAAAATGAAAACTAAAGGCATATTTGGAAAATACCTTGAAATGAAGGAAAAGGTAAACACACCTAGCTCCGACAAAGCCAGCTACCCATGATAGTGCCTTAGGGTCAGAAAATATGTCTCAGTGCCACAAGATTGCTGGTGCCAGGAGTCAGTGAACGAGGCTACTGGAGCCCCATAATACCCTTCCCAGGGTCCCACCCTCTCAAAGTCCAAACCTCAAGGTTCTTCAACTGCCTCCTTAAGTTAAGGTGCTCAAGCCATGCTCCCAGACCAGATCCCCAGCTGTCCATGTGTCCCTCTCTGGCCCATCTGGGTCAGCTCTTTCTCACACACTTGGGCAGACCAAGCTTGTGCTGCCTGGATTTTAATTGTTCATCCATTTAGGTCACAACTGAATTAACAATCTATTCCTCACTGGACTGCAAACTCTTGGGGAAGTTTCCATGGCACTTTTAAAATGATTAGAACCTCTCTGGCTGGACCCTAGCCCCACCCTGTGGCAGGAAGGAAGCAGGGGACACATTGGGATAACACGAAATGATCAGCATGCTTTTACAGGGGAGTCCCTCCCTGGAACCAGCACATACCAAGTCAAAGTCTCAAGTCTGTTAGGGACTGGCAACTAAGCATACTACCAGTTGCTTATTCTTACCTCGACTGGGTGTGTGTGTGTGAGAGAGAGAGAGAGAGAGAGAGAGAGAGAGAGAGAGAGACCCAGCACATGCATTAGAAACGGCTGGGTGCTGTAGGAGAAACAAAGATGAAAAAGACACAACTCCATACCCAAGGCTTATGGTCATAAAGAGGACGTGTGTTTATAAAAAGCTATAATGCAACCCAAACAGGGTTGAGGGAGGAATGGAAAGATACATGAGGCTAGGGGTTTCCAGAAAAGAGATGCACTCAACCATTTAAAACTCATTATAATCTCAATGCAAAGAAAGGAATTCCAAACCTTGAGGGGCCCACAGCCATGCCCCCAAAGACATTGAATGCAGGCGTGGCCCTGAGCTTTCATCCCTGCGCTCGGTGCTGCTGTGGGGAGGGGGAGAATCAGTGATAAACCGGCTCCCCCAGCCTTGAGCTATTTAAGTAATCCAAAGAAAATGTAGGGTGAAACCACGGTCATAGCGGGAGGGAACTTAGAAGAGAGGATCACAATGCTCTGCACAGCTGGGGGCACCTGCTGGCCAGAGAGTCCAACCCAGCTCCCGACACCCCCAGATCCTCAAGATTCCAGCCCAGCCCCAAACATCCAGGTGCTCTCAAGTTCTAGCCCGACCTTGACACCCCAAGAATCTCAGGACCCCAGCAGCTGACACTCCGGGATTCTCGGTATCTCCACCTGGTCTCTGGGACTTAAATTCTCAGAATCCCAGCTACTGGCACTCCAAGATTACTAGGAGCCCAGCCCAGCCATAAACATCCCAAGATTCTCAGTATCTTCCTCTGGCTTCTGACATCGCGAGGTTCTTAAGATCCCAGTCTAGCCCCAACATCTCGATATTCTAAACACCGGCTCTGGATACCCTTAACCCCAGCCACAAACATTCCGGGACCCCAAGGCCTGCCCCACTACACACATACCCTTGAACCCGCGAGTTACCGTAAGTCTCGGACATGGCGGTCTGCGCCATCCTGCCGCCACAGTTCCGCGTGGTCGGGTCAGTCCTCCAGTCTCCGCAGAGCGAGGGGGAACCGAGCGTGGAGGACTGGGTACAGGCCCACTGCGAGCCGGCCACCGGCTGCGGCCCAGCGGGACTCGGCTCCGCGCCTGCGCACCACCGCCCCGCGAAGGAGCCCCGCCGGGGTGGGGGGGAGGCGGGGTCGCAGGAGGGAGGAGGAGCAGGGCTGGGGAAGGGGTGGAGGGAGAGCGAGAGAACTGGTGAGAGGCTCCCGCTCTCTCCGAAGGAGGAGGTGAGGCGAAAGAAGATGAAGGACGGGGACCAGGAAGGAAGGAGGGGCGGGGCTCGGGTGGGGTGCTTGCACCCGGTAGGTCCTCCCAGATGGCGTTGCAACACAGACTCAGTCATCCTTAAGTATGACCGACCAGACCAGGGGTGAACATGAGGCCCCCCCGGGGGCTTGCTTTGAAGGGAAGGGGGTGGGAGGGGCTCACAAGCAGAAAGCCAAGTTCTTACCCCAGGCAAGTGTAATTGGTCATCTGAACTCGACTTTCAGGGGACTGTGCATTGGAGATGGGGACACAGTGTTGTTACCTGGCCCTTATTGCAGGCTAAACTCAAAGGTGTGTTCATCTTAGGAAACAACGCAGGTCAGAACCTGCTCCAATCCCAAAGAAAGGGGTTAGGGACATTTACAGAAAGGCAAATTGGGGTCAGGAATTTGGCCCACCTGAGCAAACCAGGGCCTCAGAGCCTACCTTCTCCACAGTAGCAACAGAGGCCTGGATGGTAGGCAAGGCCACTGTGTACCTTTTCAACCTAGGCCATCTATCTCTGCCACAGATCTGTCACCAGACATTCCCTTCTGCTCGGTGCTGTCTGGTTCAATATTTCACTCTTGTGCTTTGTCACACAGAAAATTAGGGAAAAGAGCTCTCATCCTGAAGTCTTGTTGAAGTCTCTTGCTGGCACAGCATGCACAATTTGCACTTGAGATTGCCTGGCAAGGTATCCCTTGTCTGTAATCTCAGCATTCGGGAGGTATAGGCAGGATTGTTTTGAGTTGGAGGCCAACCTGGGCTACACAGCAAGGAGGGGAAACAAAGATAAAAGAGACACAGCTCAAAAAGAAATAAATGAATAAGTTTTAAAAGAACAAAAATGATTGCTTACACAATTTTAAATAGAGATATTTCCTATAAGAATGTTAAAATAGCAATGAACAGCTTACAGCCCTAGTATGTGAGCTTTGAGTTTATCTTAGTTTCTTTCTCTGCTGTAAATCTGTACTATTTCTGAGGAGCTCACAAACAAGATTACATTCAAAACACATGACTTAGGCACGGTGGCACAAGCCTTTAATTCCAGAACCTGGGAAGCAGAATCAAGCAGATCTTTGAGTTTGAGTCCAGTCTGGTTCACAGGGTGAGTTCTAGGCAAGCCAGGGCTGCTTTGTGAGACTTCATCTCAAAAACAAACAAAAAAAGTCTTAATCTTTGTGACTTAATCTAATAAAGAATCTTTTGGCCCTTGTGACCTATGTTTTTATCTTGGCCTCTAATCCTATGAAGTGTGCTTCAAAAACAACTCTTTGACTTCCTTTTTTTTTTTAAAGAAAGGGAGGGCATCAAAATTGCCAAGTGTGGTAGCATGTTCATAATTCCATCCCTCAAGAAATGGAGAAAGGAAGATTGAGAGTTCAAGCCAGCCAATCTAGCTACATAGTAAGTTTGCGGCCAACTTTAGCTCCACTAGACCCTGTCCTGGTTAGTATTTTTGTCAACTTGACACAAGCTAGTATCCGAGAAGAAGGCACCACAATTGACAAAATAATTTCATAAAACTTGTCTGTAGGCAAGCTGGTGGGGCATTTTCCTCGTTAGTGGCCCATCCCTTTGGTGCCACCACTGGGCAGGTGGCCTGGATTATATAACAAAGCAGGCTGAGCTAGCCATGAGGAGCAAGCCAGTAAGCAGCACTCCTCCATGGCTTCTGCTTCAGTTCCTGCTTCGAGGTTCTGCCTTAACTTTCTTTGATGACGGACTTTGATGTGAAAGTATACTCTGAAATAAACGTTTCCTCCTCAAGTTTCTTTTGGTCATGGTGTTTATCACAGTGATAGAAAACTCCAACTAAGACAGATCCTGCCTCAAAAAACAAAATCAAGGGCTGGGAGGTGAGCCATTTGGTAAGTGCTTGTCATATAAAGCTGAGGGCCTGAGCTGAGATTCTCAGCACCAGTGTAAAAAGCTGTAATCCTAACCCTGGGAAGATAGTGGCAGGGACCCATGGGGCCTGCTGGTTAGCTATTCTTGCAAAATCAGTAACCTCCAGATTTAGAAAGAAACTGTCAGAAAAGAAGGTAGTGATAGAGAAAGATACCCAATATCAACATCTGGCCTCTACACACATGTGCACAGATACACGGCTACCTGTACACACACACACACACACCTAACAAAACAAAACAAAAAAGCAGTGCTGACAGGATGGCCTAGTGAGTAAAGGTACTTGTCACCAAGGCTTATGACCTGGAAGCCAAAACACAGATAGTTCATCCTCTGACCCCAATGCTCATTCAAGCACACACAAAATAAATAGTAAGCACACATACACAATAAATAAATGTATAAAAGAATTAAAATAAAAAACCAAAATCATATATATATATATATATATATATCTGTTGTTAAGACACTTGAAGCTGTCTCTCTTTTTTATTTTTATTTTTGAGACAGGATCTCATGTAACTAAGGCTAGTCTCCGACTTAGTATGTTACTGGGGGTAACCTTGAACTTCTGATTTTCCTGCCTCTGCCTCTTACGTGCTGAGAGTGTTTTGTACCACCATGCCTGGTTTATGTAGCTCTGGGGATTGGGTGTAGGTTTCATGTATGCTTAGCAAGCACTTTACCAACCGAGCCCCATCTTCAGCCGCACTTTTCATCCATGTCCTTTTCTTTTTTTCCCTCTCTTTCTTTTAATTTCTATGATTAAATCTTTATTAACCTTAAGGAGGCTGGAGAGATAGCTCAGCAGTGGTTGCACACGTCTTTAATCCCAGTACTTGGGAGGCAGAAGCAGGCAGATCTCTGCGTTCGAGGACAAACTGGTCTATAAAGTTCAAGAGAGCTAGGGTTACACAGAGAAACCCTGTCTCAGGAAGAAAAAGAACACTGGCTGCTCTTCCAGAAGATCCAAATTCAATTTCCAGCACCCATTTGACAGCTAACAACCTTGGGTAACTCCAATCCCAGGGGAATCCAGTGTCCCCTTCTGGTCTTCATGGGCATGATATGCACATGGTTCACAGACAAATGGGCAGCCAAACACCTATACGTGTAAGAGAAAACTAAATAAGCCTTTAAAATATTTATTATTTTAAAATTTTATGTGTATTCGTGTGGGCCTGAATACATACATGTGAACGTCTTTAATCCCAGCACTCGGGAGACAGAAACATCCAGATCTCTGTGTGTTCCAGGCCAGCCTTGTCTACAGAATGAGTTCCAGGACAGGCTCCAAAGCTACATAGAGAAACTCTGTCTCAAAAAACAAAACAAAACCAACCAACCAAACAAACAAACAAACAAAAACCGCAGCTTCCCTTGATTAGAGGTCTTTGAAAAGAACTCAGGTTGCTGCAGTCAGATGCCTAGAGCTGTGGCTTGCTCCTTGTTGCTGATACTAAAAGCAAATTATTTTGTATCTAGTTCTTTCATGACTAGGGTACTTCCTTTCTTGTTTTGTTTTTTGTTGTTATTAGTTTTATTTTTGATACAAAGTCTCACTTTGTAACTGAAACTGGAAGACTTATTATGTAGTCCAGACAGGCATTGAACTGGCATCTGTCCTTGCATCTAGGTCTTCAAGAGCTGGGATTGAGGCATGTACCCTACTCCTGGCCTTCTGCTGCTCTGTGGGCTTAGGCTCTGAGCAAAGTCAGCTGCTTCTGATAAAAACATTCAGAAGAATTGGGGTTCCTGGACCAGAAAGAGATCAGTGTTACCTGTGATCACCCCACCTTTAGATCTGAATGTCCTTCCTGTCACACACTGCTGCCGGCCAGGAGGAAGTCACTGGGAGTGGTGCTAATTTGTGCGTCGTCAGAAACTGGACCCAGAAATCTCAGAAACGTGCTTAGGGTGGCAGGGAAAAGAAAAGTATGCTTTTAGTTGGTCAGAAGGTGCCCTCAGTTACAGGTGACCTCAGTGTTCACAGCAGTTACAGGTTCAACTCCTATTCAACACTTTCCCCCTTTTCTCACTGCTGGACTTGACTTGTCTTTTAAAAAAGCATGCTTTCCTCTAAAAGCATGGTTTTCTGTTTTTGTGAAAACTGAAAGGATACTGTTTAGGAGGAAAAATAAGACAAAACCCAGAGAGATCCTTCTGTCCACACCAGCAAAGTGTGTGAAAACCACAAGAGACACAGCAGAGCTTTAATAGAGCCAGAATTCTTCTTTATTTTTTTGAGATTTTTTTTTTTGGTTTTTCGAGACAGGGTTTCTCTGTGGTTTTGGAGGCTGTCCTGGAACTAGCTCTTATAGACCAGGCTGGTCTCGAACTCACAAAGATCCGCCTGTCTCTGCCTCCTGAGTGCTGGGATTAAAGGCGTGGGCCACCAACGCCCGGCATTTTTTTGAGATTTTTAAACATTTTTATTTTTTAATTTAAATTAGAAACAATATTATTTTATATATAAATCCCAGTTCCCTGTCCCTCCCATCCTCCCATGCTCCCATGCCCACCACCAACCCCCATCCCATCCTTCTTCTGCTCCATAGAAAGGGTGAGGACTTCCATGGGGGATCATCAAAGGCTGTCACATCATTTGGGGCAGGGCCTCCCCCATGTGTCTAGGCTGAGAGAGTATCCCTCTATGGTGAATGGGAGACCCAGAATTTTTTGACTGAGGGGTGAAAGGTCTTTGTAGCTCAGCAGTTTTGATCTAGGAGGAAGTAAACCTCTCCTGGTGTTCCTAGAGGCGGCTTTGATTGGGAGACGTTGTTGGTTGTGCATAGAAACTTTACCAACAAATTGACTTGAATTTCTCTTTAATCACCTTCTTTTTCCTCTGAGGAAGTTTTTGGCGGACTAAAAGCAGGTCCAGGTGTAGGGGTGGGGTGAGGGTGAGGGTGAGGGGAACCTACCT